AAGTTAGAGTACCAACATGATATGCCGACTTACTTACATACTCTGAAGTTAAATCTCTTCCCGTTGTAAACAATAGACAATCCACCCCCTCAATGAACTAACCCATTATGATAATATCTCTCTCAAACGTACCTCGACAATTGACTTCCAAGATTCTTTCAGAGGGGCACGACGATTCTGAGGAACTAGCACAGTTCTAACTTCCGCCATTGTCCAACGAGGGCGAACTCACATGTACGGCTCCAGAGCAACTAAAGTAAACAGCGCGCATAAATTTAGAGCTCATAAAACCAGAAACATTTAAGTTCTAGATTATGAGGGGAAACGTTCACCTCAAATGTTGGAGAATTACGATGCTTGTGAGGAAATTAAGAAACTATTTTGAATGGTTAGTAATAAAAATCGAGAGGCGAGCGTGTGCAGTTATAATAAAACCTTCGTGAATAGCTGAAATTAGAAGATGGATATAAAAATAGAGCTAAAATTACGTCTGCAATGAAACTAATGCATAGCACAATTTCGGCTTTACTATGAGATTAGTAAACATTCCTTGCTTTTCGAAATTTTTGTTTTCTTCGGAGTATCTTAGTTAAAACCACTTTATATAGTACAAGTATGTGCATCTACTGCGAAGTTAATGGAAAGTTTCTTCAAACCAAATTCTTTATTCTTATAGATTGAACTCTCTTGCAATAATTATGCCAAATCGATCAATTTTCGACAAACTTCGATACTATTTTGATGAGCTATAATTAAATCGCATCCAGTTAATCGTCCTTACCGGTTTAATTTTAGCTGATTGCTAGTATTGCACAAAAGATAATGTGTTTGTGCTCATCTACTGTGTAGTGCAAAACCTAAACGATCTAATGTACACATAGAGAAAATAAATGAGTCGTCTTCTTCAGGAGAAGGGGTCGTAACAGAACGAAATACGAGTGTCTGTTCGCTATCCTGGTTAAGTGTAGACCTTAGTACGATTAATATTACCAAAAGTAGCAGACTGATAAATGTCGTTTCAAGAAACTACCATACACCACCACGGTATATAGCATCAAACTGCCAAATCAGAAATTTAACGACCTTATCGTCCTAAATATTCAAATAGCATCCACCAAATCCTCAAACCCACTGGAATCAATAATTCATTCGTGCTGTTTCACTCAATCGGCCGAAGCTGAAAAGTGGCTTCAGCAAATGCCAAGTCATCCGCCTACAGTGTAGTAGCAGAAAGGTGATACTATTTTAGTATGACTACTTGATCGGAGGTCGCCAACTCGGGCAACTCGGGCAACTAAAGGAACTATGGGATCTAGGTGTATGTATGCCGCCCAACTGCAAACC